TTCAAGGTCACAAAATAAACAGAAGGCTCAAATTATATTTTGTTAATATATTTACTTGTGTTTTTCTTTCATCAGGGAGGATAGCTAGTCCTCTGTGCTAGTATTTCTCTTCTCTTTTTAATATTACTTCTATCTAAAAAGGAAAACAGAAGTATCAGAATATATTTTCTTAATGCTCATCTAATTTTTACCTTAAAAAGTATTTTGTTGATGCAATGCGACCAACTTATTTTATTCCTCTATATTAAGATGTATTTATGGAAATGCTAAACTGGCAGTGCATATAAGATACTGTTTCCCACTGAATCCATAATAAAAAGAGATCATCTTAACAAAAGATGCCAATGAAGCTCCACAAACAAGATTGTGAGGAAGAAAAAGAAAACATACAGTGTATATTCAAGATAACCATCGACCCTTGGTTTACTGATGCTTCCTTCAGATCTTTTCCTCCTTGATTCAACACGGAAGTTTGCAGGACATTCTGCATTAGATGACTCTCCTTTCACGAAATCATCTACTCTGGCAAATGGGATCAGAGCAATATCATCACCACCTTGGCGACCACCTTCTATTTTTACCCACTTTATATGAGAAGAAGAAAACTCTGAACAAGGAGGATCTTGTACTGGAAGGCTAAGAATATCCTCCATTCTTGGCATCTGCAATTTAGACAGATACCGGGAAAATGGTAAACCAATAACATAGCAGGAGAAGAAACTAATCAAATTTCAATATAACAGAACCTATATTTGCCATAGATAATCTGCCTAATGCTTAATTATACAAGTATTTAGCTTGTCCCTCAACTCATTACTGCAGAAAACCTTGTCAGGACCCAAAATAGTTGTTAGAGTTTACTAGAATAAGTTGGTTGTTTGTTTTGATTACTAAAAATTATTACATAATTAGTTGTAACTAAGTTGATTAATGTAATATCAAGCGATAAAAGCTGAATCTTGTAATTGTTTTGGCATCCAAATTTTTTTTATAAAAGTTAAATTTCTTTCTCTAAAGCAGAGCTGCTATTCTTCTTTCTTCAAATCCGTTAGTCTTCTCTACATTTCTTAAAACATGAACTAGGATCCTGTCAAACCTCTGTCTCCAATCTCTCATTCAGTTATAGGTGCCGAACAGAACTCAAGGCAAACAACAAAAAGACGAAATGCATATACGAAGAAGCCAAATAACCAATTTAGACTACTAAAATCTCCCTTTTTATTGCACTGGTTGATGATCTTCCACATAGATTTTAAATCTAAGTGGCCGTGAACAGTTCAAAGTTAGAACACTTGCCCATAAAAACACGGCTCGAAACCCATCATTTCCACAGATGAAAAGGTAAAAGACGAGGTAAATGAACCGTACCTTTGCTTCATGACCTTTCATTCTCACTCCAAAAGCAATGAAATTCTTGTTTAACTTGCTGCAAAACATTTAAGCATATGAATGCAAATTACAAGCTAAAATCAAAACTCTAATGAATGGAGAGATCCAAACATGGCGAATTTATATTAACAAGAGCTGGTTTACAGACAATTACAGCAAAGTTAGAGTTATAGACGGATCCAGAGACGTTCTCCAGCTAAATCAGATGCTCAGAGGTGAAATTTAACCGCAAGATGAAGCCAATAAACTGATGGAAAGTTAGGATCAATAGAAATTAAAAAACAAAGAAGATAGCAAACGTGAATTGGACCAAAAATTTTAAAGAACGAGTAAGGAAAGAAGTAAACATGAAAGATCATTGACAACTGAAGATCGATGATAGAATTGCTTAACCAGAGGTTACTTCGACTTCCCGGGGAGCGAGCTGACTCTGATATGTTGTTTTTTTTTTTTGGGGTGTGAGGACGGTGTACGGATCAGAAAGCCAAACGGCAAAGCAAACGGCCGTTTTAATACAACGACGTCGTTGCAGTCCTCCCCGTTTGTGGCATTTACGCCCAAAACTTTTTTTTTTATACCAAACTACTTTAGGCCGACATAACTTTCAATTATATGGCCTTAAATATTTTTTTTAAAGTATTCGGAGTATTCTACCTTTTCTACTAGATTCTTAAATTGTTTTTTTGTTCTTATATTTTTTAAAATTGTATATATTAATTTTGTTAGATTTTTTTTAGATATTTGAGATTAATGTATTCCCGATATACGTATTAAATTATCAATTTAATGAAATTATTTAAAAATAATTAAATACGGTTAAACAGTGTTGAGTCTTAATACATCAAGTTTAAATATAAACTTATAATGTGCAGATATTATTTTTATAATATTTTTATTTTATGATGAATAAATGAGATTGTAAAAGTTTGTCGATATAAAAGCACTAATTCATCATTTTATTTTTCTAAAATCCTATCTTCATAAAAAATTAATTTTTAAGGTATCGTGTTGATTCGAAATATTATATTGCGAACAATTCTTCCACTATAAATACAGGTACACTTCCGCTTATATTTCTCATTAATTCGGTATGAGATTACGTATTTAAATTTATAAATTTATTAATTTAAAAAGTATTTTTATTTTAATAAGTGGTATTAAAGCTTTTCTAGTATTTAATTTTTAATATTCAAGTTTTTTTTTGTTAATTTTTAATTTTGGATTCAAATTAAAAATTTATATGTATATATATATATATGTATACTAAGAAATATATACGTATTTTTAAAGTAGAAAAAAAATATATATATATATGGATTTCAAAAAAAAAAGAAAAAGAGAATGTGTATATATATATATATTTATGTTTAGGATGTATATATATATGTAGAAGAGAAAACAAAAACAAAAAACGGAAAGCACCGGCCGACCACCGTTGCATAAAGAAAAAAGTCTGGCGGTCACGCAACCGATCGGCAGTCGAATCTCGCGTGTAACGGTCGAATTTTTCGGCCATTACAGAAGCAACCATAATGGCCCTTTGGACGCGAGGAAAAAGGATAAAAAAAATAGAATAATGTGATTTTTATTTTTTGGTCATTTTTATGGTTTATTTTCTTTATAATTCAATCTAAGTTTGGTTTTAATTTTAAATTTAAATGTTAGTATGTATATATACATATTGAAATAAATCGATTTATATAACATGTCAGTAAAGTGACATCTCTTATACATAATTTATTTATTTTATAATATAAATAATTGGATGATTATAATTTATATGAATATTAATCGACCTAAAGGAAAGTTAATATTTAACATTATTACATTTAATTTTTCTGGTAATGAATTCGTAACATTTATTTAATATAATGTGTAAACTTTAAATCGACTAAAATGAAAGTTTATTGTTTAATATGTTCATATTGGGTATATTTAATTACTATTATAGGGTACTACTTACAAGTTAATATTATGTTCAAAGATAAAGTATGTGTTCGGTACCTTAAAATAAGATATACCTTTATTTAAAATTCATTATTAAATTTTATGATTTATAGTTTTATTTAATTATTTTGTTTTTATACATTCTCTGTTCAGTTCATTTTACTGCTGAAAATATCACCGCGAATATTGATTTCATCCTAATGTTGAAAGACACAGACTATTGCACACTTTTGTCGATTCTTGTTTCTATGAGGTATAAAAGAAATGGAAACACCAGAGAGCACATAATGGAGATGTCACATGTGCATGCAAAAGTCAAGTCACTTAGAGTGGAATTGTCAGAAGAAATACTGATGTACTTTGCTTTGATGTCTTTTTCACCATAGTTCAATCATTTCAAGGTGATATACGACTGTCAGAAGAAATCCTGGAATTTGAATAAACTCATTTCACACTATGTGTAATACCCGGGTTTAGAATTTGACACGAGATTAATTTTAACATTTTAAAAATATATAAGAATTTATTTTTAAAATTAATAAATTTTAATTTAATGTGAAATTATGAAAAAAATAGATTGAGAATGAAATTAAAAATGATTTTGAGAAAAAAATAGGTGAAAATTTGGGTTCAGATGGTGTTTTTGAAAGAAAAATAAGAAACTGGGGGTCATAATGCAATTAAAAAAAAATTTTACCACGTAGGATTGCCCAGTCAGCAGTCTCGAGGAACTGGAGCGCGCTTGCGTGCCAAGGCACGCTGACTCGGTGCCACGTGGGAAGCCACGTTGGCGATCCACGTGCCCTGCAATTGGATGACTTAGAAGCGTTCTCGCACGCGTGGACAGTCTAGATCCATTCTCTCCTCAAGCGCGATCGGACGGTCGCAATCAAACGCGATGGATGGTACAGATTCATTTCATCTTTAAACACAATCGAACAATCAAGATCAAACGCGATGAACGGTCCAGATTAACGCGAGACGAGTATAAATATTTTATATCACACTGAACCCAAACCCTAGTCACCAGCCTCCCGCCGGAGAAGAAGAAACAGTCGCCGGAGAAGGGACTCGACTATCGATCGCCGTGAAACTGGAGCCATCTCTGACCGCCAAAAAGGTAAAAATTCTTTTATTCGCTCGGAATTTGTTTCCGAGTACCCCATGGCCAAAACGAAGCAAAAAGAATGATGAGTGAGCCAAAAATCGGGGGCAAAGCCTGGCGGCGCTGCCGCAGGCAAAACCCGCAACCTCCTCCGATGAGTCCATTTACGTTTTTCGTTTTCTATTTTGTGCGATTTTTTCACCATTGTATTCACTGTTCTGTTTTCTACAAGTTGACCAAAGAAAAACTCCCAGCCACGAAGGTAAGCTGGTAGAGCAGCCGCACCCGGAAAACCCCACCGTTAGTAGGTTTTCGTTTCTTACTTTTTTTGCCAATGGAGACTCTCTAATGTGTTTTTTCGCAGGGATATGTATAAAACCTGCCGAAACCGGCTAGAATCAGCCAAAAATTACAAGGTCGAGGCAAATCGCTGCCGCGTGTAATGGTGCCGTCGTCGAAGCACGCGGTGTCGCCGTGTCAGAACCCCGAAATTGGCTGAAAAGGGTTTTTTTCACCGATTTTGGATTTATAGGATATTTTTAGGGATGTAAAGCATGTTTAATCTCTGCAAAAAAATTTAAAAAATTCAGAGACTGCCAATAGGCGCAGTAGAAAGTTTGGTATTTCAGACACTGATTCGGGTAAAAATCTCTCACCTTATTATCTGTTATGGAATTGAAACTTAATGAGCGATAATACGGTATTTTATGTAATTTAAAATTTTTTGAGAATAATCATAGATTACTAATGGAGATGGAACCAGTTAGTTATTTATTTGTTTGTCCATGGTTGTTTTTATGATTTTTACCAATCTTCAGTTTCTGTATCGGTGAGTAGTGTGATATTCTTGTTGGGCTAGTGCAGCGCACCCTTTCATTAACTATTTCAGATCAAGAAAACTAAGATTCAGATCCCGATCAACAAGAGGGTTATGAATAGTTTAGCATCCGGACTCTCTTTAAAAGCTAGTGAAGATCGTCCTAGAATGCTCAATTATTTGCTTTTTGTTTATTTCTTTAATTTTCATTTGTTCTTTTAGAAATGACATTCCTATAACTCTATTGGGTATTTTAAATTATTGTGTAAGGAATCTAAACTTTAAACTCTATTATTTCGCTTCTATCCTTAATTTATAACTTTATTTCTTTTTAAGTTCCGGGTATTTACACTTGGTATTAGAGCCACGTTCCTTGGAACCATTGATTACCCAAAGACTTAAAAACACCAAATACGAACTATCGTCCAGCCATTCCTTGTGAAAAATAAGTACAAAGACACAAGAAGATGAAGTCCCTTGCTGAACAGGGCAGCCCGATACAGGTCACTTCGAGAGGATATTGATCGGCTCTTTAAGATTTTAGAGAGATTCATTTTTGCCTAGTAGGCTAGGGAAGAAAGGAGAGAACTGTCTAACCCTCTACCACTTCCACAATATGAGTCACCCCTACAACGAGAGGATCTAACGCCATCTCGATTAACCTTGCTCCTCCAATGTATCATTCGACACTGTCGCAATACAATTCAGAGCCCCCATCATTTCATCCGGCACCGTTACAGAGCTACTCGGTCCCTCCCTAGCAACATCTGACCCCTCTTCCACGGGACTCAATTTCACCCATGATGGACTCAATAGAGATTGACATGGGGGACCCTGATATATTTCTAAGAATGAACTAGTTAGCGGCGTATCACGCCATCGTGGATTGTTTCTACGAGAAAATTTATATTTAAGCCTTCTAACAAATAGTCATTTACAAGCTAATAAAAGTTTTGAATATTATTCCCTCATAGTAATTTTGTTATTACATAGCGCTTTAGCTCGGTTGTTTTCTTTACACTAGGCAAACTTAAGAAAGAACTTTGTATTTAAGAGATCCCAGTAATCTGAAACTTCCCGAATGTTTTTTCTAATGAACTTTCCAAACTAGTAGTAGACAGAAAAGTTGAGTCCACTATAGACCTTCAACCTAACACGCAGCCTATCTTAGTTTTTCCTTATGCGTTAGTCGTGTTGAGATGAAAGAGCTAAGAAAACAGATCAATAAATTACAGGATAATAGGTTCATTTGACATAGTGTATCCCCTTGAGGTACTGGAGTTACATTTACAAGGAAGGGAGCTGGTTATGTATTGACTACAAGGGACTAAATAGGGTTACAGTCAAGAACAAGTACCCCTTCTTCAGGATCGATGACCTTTTTGATTAGTTGCAGGGTGCCCAAGTCTTCTCCAAAATAGACATACGTTTAGGTTACCATCAGGTAAAGATCAAGGCAGAGGACATTCCCAAAATAGTTTTTCGAATCAGATACGGACACTATGAGTTTCTGGTCATGCCATTTGGACTAACCAACGCACCAGCCATATTTATGGATTTGATGTATAAGATTTTCAGATAATTCCTGAATCAGTTTGTCATTATATTTATCGATGATATCTTGATATATTCAAAAAGTAGAGAGGAACACCCTCA